GCAGATGTTCCATAAATACTTTTTCCATGATTTCAGAAAATGACAGAAAGCATTTTCAGTATTCTATTAAAGCCAATCATCCTTTTACCGTCACTCATGAGGGTAAGGATGGCTTTCTAGGCAAGGAAATGTCTTTCTTTTCCCCTACATTTCTGACTCTTAATCTTTGGAGACAAGATTCCCTAGAAAACTGCACTTTCTTGAATAAATGCAAAAATGTGCATGTAATTCCCAGTTGTTAGGGCAGAGGTCCCTGAATAGGATTGAATGGATTGAATTCAGGGAGCCAAACCAGAATGGGAAATAAAATTACATCCCTATTTTCATAAGCCTCTACCTAAAATTACCATTGCCTTGCATTGTAGGCAACACATCATAGTAGATTAGCAGTAGAGAAGTTTATTGGGTCTCCAATAAAATCACAGATATTTTCATATAATGTATTTGTTGCACATAACTCAAAATATCATTTATTAGTTCTCATCACTACCAGCAGGAGGCAGTCAATTGATATGTCTTTTCATGTCTTTCTTTCTTTCTCTCTTTCCCTCTTTCCATCCTCTCTAAAAAAATATTAATAAAAAATATCTTCAGGAGAAGATTAAATAAAAGCATTAAAAAGGGAAGTAATATAATTAATATTTTACTGCTTAAATTAAAAAAAAATTATTGATTTTGCAGAGAAAGGGAGAGGGAGAGAGAGAGAGAGAGAAAGAGAAAGAGAGAGAGAGAGAGAGAGAGAGAGAGAGAGAGAGAGAGAAACATCAATGATGAGAATCATTGATCAGCTGCCTTCTGCACAGCCCACACTGGGAATTGAGCCCCTCACTGTCATGTGTCCTCACCAAGATCCCACAATGATCTCCTGGTTCATAGGTTGACAATCATCCACTGAGCCATCTTGGTTGGCCTATCAGTAATCTTTTTTAAAAAATATTTTGGCACTAGCTAGTTTGGCACAGTGGATAGAGCGTCCACCTGTGGACCAAAGTGTCCCGGGTTCAATTCCAGACAAGGACATGTACCTTGGTGGCAGGCTCTTCCCCAGCCCAATCCCTGGTTGGTGCTCATGCAGGAAACAATCAATTGATGTGATGTGTCTTTCCCACATGGTTATTACTCTCTCTCATACTCTCTCTAAAAATCAACGGGAAAATACCCTCAAGTGAGGATTAAAAAAAGAATAATAATAGAAAAAAATTGAAATCTCCATTTTAATAATAGATTCCCTTTATTTTCACATATATTTTAACTTATAAATCATTTAAAAACATAGTCCTCAAGAAAATAGGCCTCTGCAGATCACTTGGGAGGAAAAACGGTTAAGAAATGGTGCACTAGGGGGTCCATTGACTCTAAGTTAGAAACCTCTCCCTTACAAGGTATAAATTTCAAGCTAACTTAGAAATCTTCCAACCTGCCCGGCCAGCATGGCTCAGTGGTTGAGTGTCAACCTATGATCCAGGAAGTCACGGACTGATTCCCAGTACTGGTACATGCCCAGATTGCGGGCACAATCTCCAGTACAGGGTGTGCAGGAGGAAGCCGATGAATGGTTCTCTCTCATCATGGATGTTTCTGTCTCTCTCCCTCCCTCTACCTTTCTGATCAATAAAAAATATTTAAAAGAAACAAATGTTCAATAAATATATGAAGGTATCTGAATTCACAAGTAATCAGAAAAATTCAAACTTAGGTGGAACTGCCTTTATTCACCCATTAGATCAACCAAAAAAAATGACTACCTAGTGGTGGGAGGACAGAGGAAATAAATACTGTACTTGCCCACTGATTGGAGTGTAAGTTGGCATAATTTCTTTGAGGGTAATTAAAATGTTGTATCAACATACTTTCACCTCAACAATTTCATTTCTAAATATCTGCCCATGATCCCAAAGAATGGGATCATGGGCAGATATGTGTGTTGCATCAAATACACGTAACAAGAAAACTGAACAGAATCTAAACATCCATAAATAGGGGGATTATTAAACTATGGAGTATTATGGAATAGTTTAAATGAATTGGGTAGCCCTCTCCGTATCAAGAAGGAAACACGTGTAAGAGTCAGATATATTATGAGATGAAAGAATCAAATTACCACTTACATAAAAAAAGATATGAAAATCACATAACATATCTTTTAACTATCTGTAAATATGTATATAGGTAAATGTATGGGAAAAGGTCTATAAGGATATAAACAGAGTAGCAGTTATGTTAGGGTGGGGATGAGGTCACAAGCCAGGTTTTCACTATACCTGCTATTTCATTTTTACATATTGAAAAAATAATCATGTATTACTTCTTCTAATGGAAAACAAGTTTAAATTGACTCTGATTGTGAAGAGGACCTTCCAAATTAAATCTTTAAAATAAATAAACTACAATCAATAGATTTTGATTTGGGTTACAGAGGGGGTAATACCTTTTCTCAGAGCTCTTGACCTCAAAATTCTGGACCTAGAAGGGTCTTAAAATACAGTTCGTTTTTTTCATTTGGAGAGAATATACTTACAGTTTCTCAACCAAATGATATGACTTCCATGTGTCTTTTCCGATGTAAGAAATAGCATTTCCCTGCAAGTTTCTGTGAAGAAACAGTCAATGTCATTGAGTAGGTAAGGGACGAATGAACAGAATACGTAAAACAATCATGGCAACCTTGGTATTCAAATGCAGAAAATACAAGCTTTCTAATTTCTACAACTATCAGCTTCCCAGTTTTCACAATTAATAAAGACATAATGTGAGCTCTAGTTGGTTTGGCTCAGTAGATAGAGCATCAGTCTGTGGACTGAAGGATCCCAGGTTCAATTCCAGTCAAAGGCACATGCCTGGGTTGCAGCTCAGTCCTCACTAAGGGGTGTGCAGGGGGCAGCCGATCCTATCAATGATACTCTCTCATCATTGACATTTCTCTCTCTCTCCCTCTCCTTCCTCTTTGAAATCAATAAAAATTTGTTTAAAAAAAGAAATACTGCAAGCAGTAAGAATGTGTCCATGAATTACATGTGTTTAAAAGCAGCTGTTAAATTCCTGAGGTTCGGTTTCAAACACTAACTCTGTGGATGACTTTAAAACTTCAGCTTTGTCCTCTTCCCTCAGCAATAACTTACCTATTCAGTTTACACATTTTTCAGGAAGATCAGAAAAAGTCAGATAGCTGTCTTCCCCTGTGCCCCGTGGACATTTCCTCTCAAGCAGAAGCCTTCTGGTTGCTTCATGCCACCACTGAAAGATGCCCAAACTGAGCTCACCTCCTCAAACTGGTTCTCCTTCCAAACTGCTGTATGTCCTCCTGTCATACCACCATCATTCTCCTCATCATCCAGGACAGAAATTTTCCAGGGTCATATTGGGTCTTTCTCTTTCCTGTACATCCCATCCCTCATTCTAGTCAGTTACCAAACCTTGTCAGTTCTCCCTTTATAGTGTTCCCTGGATTTTCTTTCTACTCCTGTCACAACCCCTCTGATTCTGCACATTCTCACTTGACTCCTATAGAATTCTATTTGGTCTCCCTGAGTCGACTTCCTCTCTACATCACTCTACCAATGGAATCTTAAATAATCCTCTTATTTTACTCATCTGTGTCTCTCTCACCTGAAAACTTTCAGTGGGTCTCCTTATCTCAGTTTAACTTCCAAACCCCCAGATCCGATAGTCAAGGTTTTTCATAATCTTTTTTTTTCACTGCTTCCTAAACCAATTCTTTATAACCAGACTGTTCTATAATATTAAGTCATGATCATTCCTGTAGCCATGCCTTTGCCCTCACTTTTTTACCAAACCACAGCCACCCTTTAAGTCCCAGCTAAAGATCTAGTTTATCCATGCAGTGTTCCCTGACTTCCATACCTCAGTAACTACACATTCTGCTGAGTTAGAGCACCTCTGGCCTGTATCTCTTTTCATACTTAATTATGTATCACCCCCTTTCTTAATGCACATTCCCTTTCTCCCTCCCTACCATTGTCATGTTTCATAGACAATGTCATACTTCTGTGCCTCCCACAGACTTAGACCTGGGTTGGGCACAAAATGGGTGATTTATATAGAAAGCCAGGGGGCAAAGGTAAGTTCTAGATATGAATGAGGGGTCAAATAATAATAGCTAACACATACATATGTTAAGAATTTGTATAAGTACTATCCTATATAATAAAAGCATAACATGCAAATTGGCCGAACAATGGAACAATAGGTTGCTATGAGGCGCACTGACCACCAGAGGCAGACGCTCAGTGCAGAAGTTGCCTCTAGTGGTCAGTGCACTCCCACAGGGTGAGCACTGCTCAGCCAGAAGCCAGGCTCACAGCTGATGAGCATAGCAGCAGTAATGGGAGCCTCTCCAACCTCTGCTGCAGGCAGGTGGTGAGGAGCAAGGAATCCCGGACTGCAAGAGCTCCTGACTCTCCAAAAGGGATGTCTCCCGAGGGGTCTTGACTGTGAGAGGGAGCAGGTTGGCCTGAGGGAACCCCCACCCATGCATGAATCTTGTGCACCGGGCCTCTAGTATATACAATATATACAGTATATAGTACTTCTAAAACTCAATACAATCCTATGTAATGATAACTATATAATGTTCATTTTACACATGAGGAAATTGAGTCTTAACTCTAATAAATGGCATACTAGGTTCAAACCCAGTCACTCTGGCTATAGACTATCTACTCTTAACTGCATTGCTGCACCACAACCAATGAGTCTGGGAGAGAGTCATGTTTCTGTAAAGAAAATGGAGTAAAAGTGGGAGGACAGTAGCGGTTAAGGAATGAAATGCTGGGGCTAAATATATAGGGAAATAATATGGGAAATTATAAGCAAAAGATTGGTTAAGATGGAACAAAAGTATTGAAGAATAGTTGTCAAACAAAGATAAAAACAAAGTCATTCAACATGGTTAGGGGGAGATGAGGAAGGCCCAGGAAGACCTCAAGGAAAAGGCTGCCACCTCAGCCAAGATGCAGAGAACAAATGAGGAAAGGCAATGCTTACAAGACGGTGAAGGTGCCATTGTAGGTGCTGGGCTCTGGTACTGGCACTCTGTGGAGCCTCTGGTTTGATGCAAAACCAATGCACGACAGCGTCCCATTATTGCAGGAACAGAGCTCACATATGTCCGTAATGGCATTCTGTTCAGTCACTGGAGGAACTGTCTCTGATGACTCTGGTTGCTGAGTTATTGTTACCTCCATGTCAAATGGTAGAACTGTGGCTGTGACTTCAGAAAAAGATGGCTGCTGAACCTGAACAAGTTGTGGCTGTTGAAGTGTCACTTCAGGGTGCTCTGAAGGAGCTGCATTCTGCTGCAGGGCTGTAGCACCAGCCTCCAAAGTGGGTTCTGGAGTGATGGTGAGCTCCAGGTCAAATGGAGTGAAGGTTGGTTGTTGAGCCTGCACAGTCTCTGGTGATGGAAGTGTCACCTCAGGGTGCTTTGCAGGAGCCGCATTCTGCTGCAAGGGTGCCTCAGCCTCCAAAGTTGGTTCTGGAGTGATGGGGACTCCTGGTTCCAAAGGTGGAAAGATTGGCTGCTGAGCCTGAACGGGCTCTGGACTTGGAATTGTCACCATAGGGTGCTTTACAGGAGCTGCATTTGGCTGGAGGGCTGTAACACCAGCCTCCAAAGTAGGTTCTGGAATATCAGAGAATTCCAGGGGGATGGAGGTTAGCAGGGTAGAGTCCATAATGGGAGCTGCCTGGACCTGCAGCCACATCCCCTGCCACAGGAACAGAAGCCAAGGGGCCCACATGTGTAGCCCGGACATGACAGTCAGAGGTCCGGGGCACAGTGAGCCACCAAGGCGAATGGGGTAAGGAGAGAGTCCCAGGAAACTGGGACACAAAAGGCGATCCAAGATTCTGGAACACACACACAAAGAGCGGTCCAGGACACTGGAGCACAGGGAGCAATCCCAAGCACTGGGGTACATACAAGTAACCCAGACAAGTGAGATACAAGTACCATGCGCTGAGCAAGAGCTCAACAATTGGCAGCCATGTCACAATTGGCAGCCATGTCACAATTGGCAGTCCTGTCACAATTAGCTGGTCTGACATGCATGTCTCCCTTAGCAACCAAGCACCCCTCCCCCACCCTAGGTTCTAACCTTTATTATTCTTGGACCGAAGTGACTATAGAACAGTGAGCCTTTTCCCCAGAATCACCAGGGATCAGGTGGTTCCTTTCACCTGCACAAAAGATAACTATCTCCTCTGGTTCTTCCATCACTACTCACAATGAGGAATGATTTGGCCTCCCCAGAGCCCAGAAATGGTGGGATGTGGGGAGAGGTTGTATAAGAAGGTGGGGAGTTGGGGGTATTGAAAAAAATTCCAAGAAAGACACAGGGCCTGGCATCTCAGGAAATTCAGAAGAGCTAGTCCAGTCTGGCAATCTGAGCTCCTTTTCAAAGCTGAATCTGAGAGAGTCTTCCTGCCAATGGCCATACTGCTTCCAGGAAGAGTAGCTGACCTACAAAATACACCAGTTAGAGTGGTGTGCAATGGGGCACACTTTACAGTTCAAAAATGTTGCCATTTCCTTCAAATTCTCCATTTTTTTAAAAAAAATTCTCACCCAAAGATATGTTTATTGATTTTAAAGAGAGACAGGGGTAGGGCTTAACCTACCCTAAGATATCATCTAACCTTAAGTATTTGACAAAAGAAATAATACTATTGCATTGGTGGTTGGGTTTCAACATATGAATTTGGGTGGGGAGACATGAATACTGGACTGTGTCATCTCAATTTTGTACTTCTATACACCCAAACTGTAAGAGAATACATTTATGCTGTTTTAATCTAAGTTTGTGGTACTTTGTCACAGACGACATATGAAACTAGTACAGACTCCAACTACTCTTCAGGAATGGTTTTGAACTTCACTGATTAGTGGGTTGAGAAATCTTCTCAGGTTTCTCAATTAATATAAAACTAACTGAAAAGGGCATATACATATATCTCTAGAGAAGGAAAGAATTATTACCTTTTTAAAGTATATTTTTATTGGGTTTAGAGAGGAAGGAAGAGGGAGAGAGAGAAACATCAATGATGAGTGAGAATCATTGATTGACTGACTTGCACACAACCTTCTGGGGATGAGCCCACAACTTGGGCATGTGCCGTTGACCAGAATTGAACCTGGGACCCTTCACTCCTCAGATCATCGCTCTATCCACTAAGCCAAACCAGTTAGGGCTAACTTGTTTATTAATTGGCATTTTTTAATGAATGGGGATACTTATGCTAGCATGAAATAATTAGCTTACAATATACTTATCAGTAGAAGTAATGAATGACCTAATCCATTGAGCAGTTAATTATCTCGTTTGTCTTCCTCTAAACTGTTTGTAAGGCTTAGAATGCATTTGGCAAAGGTACTCAAGAGGATCAATACAAAAGTGGTTGTCTCTTGAAAGGTTCAGTAATTCAGAGGGCTATTTTTAGTGTCATGTGAGCTTGTTATAATCACTTCCTTTAAGCCAAAAAAAATCCATTTGCTAAAGAGCACCATTAATTAGCCTAATAAGGATTAATGACATATAAAGATCTAGGGCCAAGGTTCAAAATTGAGTTTTTATAGAAATGAATCTCCTTATATCTCAATAAATAGAATTATTAGGCTACCATTTCATCTTTGACAAGGAGGAGGATTAAGAGATTTTTATTTTGTAACTAGTGCATGAATTCGTCCAAAGAGGGGTTTCCTCTGCCCATCCAGCATCCTCTCCAATGAGGGACCCCTTGGGGGATTTCGGATAGATAATGTAGGCCCAATCTCTGTGAAATCAGGCCTAAGCCAGCTGTTATACATCCTTCTTGCAACCCAAGGCTTCTGGCTCCTAACGGTTCACATGCCTGCCCGCCTGATGGCCCCTAACTAATTATGCCTGCCTGCCTAATTATGTCCTAACTGCCCTCCCCTGCTTGGCCTGATTCTTCCCCAACTGCCCTTCCCTGCTGGTCTGACCTTGCCCCCAACTATCCTCTCCTGTAGGCCCTGGTTGCCCCAACTATCCTTTCCTGCCAGCCTGATCTTGCCCCCAACTGCCCTCCCCTACCAGCCTGATTTGCCTTTTATTATTAATTTGTAAACACACTTTTTATTGTTTAATACTAGAGGCTCAGTACTCGAAATTAGTGCACAGGTAGGGTCCCTAGCAGCTGCCTAGCAGGAGCCTCCCTTCCCTGGCTGCCAGCCAGGGCCTTCCTTTGTTCCATGTCGCCCCTTGGTGGTCAGCGCACATCATAGGGAGCCATTAACTCCTCTCTGTCTAACTCAGTTCTTGGCATATGATAGGAAGTTGATGGTCTGTTGATTGAGTGAATGAATGAAATGAGCAAATATGAAAATGAAATTACTCTTTCCAACTGAAGCTGCCTACTAATAAGGAGCATTGAAGACAGACTTTTACACGCTGGCTGCTGCAGGGAAGGCTAGCCTGTACAGTGAATCCTTGAAACAGTTCTGGACAGCAAGGAAGCTTCAGGAGCTCTCTGGCCCCTGGGGAGTAGAGACAGCTGTCACCTTGGATAACCTGGCCATTCTTCTTGCTGGCAACCATTATCCTGCTTGTGATTGAAACACACACACACACACACACACACACACACACACACACACTCACACAAAGTCTCTTTGATGCCTTAGGCCTTTCCTTGATTTTAAGACATTATTCATTTTCTGAATTTATAAAAGACATCATGTGTACTTGCCGAAATATAAAGGTACACAATCACTATTAAAGACCTGAATTAAATAAATCTAATATAAATGCCCTCTTATCTCAACTACATATTAGCTTGTGGAACATTTCCTTCATTACTCTGTCAGTGATGGGCTTTATGCTGTGAGCATCTCACAACCTAAAGCTTATGAAATGGTCTTAATGTTCAATTACCAAGTAATTGGTTCCTAATATTTCCAGTACTTGTAATATCTGAGTGGCTGTGTGAAATGGTTACAGGTAAATCAGAGTCTGCAAATTAATGTCTGCCAATTATCTTTTCAATGACAGGATTGAAAAAGGTGTTGAGCCAGGAACACAAGTGAAGGTGGTCTACCTGAGTCACATCTGAGGAGAGTTCTCAGATTTAGAAGAAGCTAAGTCAGTGAGGAAGGAATATGGGTAAGAATAGGTAGCAAAGTCAGTAAAAAGCCAGATCATGAAGTCAATCAGAGAGGCTTATGAAGACGTAATTATAAAGTGAAACCTTTGGGAGATCTAAGCCTCACTCACTCATTCAGAGGCATTAAAATGGTCCATGAGAGGGGTGGGGAAGGGGCTGCTAGAAGGCATCTATGCAGGGAAAGGAGGATATATATAATGCTTTTGCCAATAAAGATATTAAAAAATAATCATGGCTAATAATAATTGATAGATCCTCCCTTCCCCCAACTGATGGACAGAGAATGACTTAAACTCCACCTGCAGCATAGACATTCCTTAGCACCTAACAAGGCACCTTATATGGACTGTACATTGAACCACCAATTGGCACCTGTCAAATATCATAAGCCCCCCCACCCCATTCCTAAGTCCCTAGGTCCCTAATCATGTGCCTTACATGAAACCACCAATCAGCGTGTGCTGAGTGCCCTAAGCCCCGTCCCTTCCTTTTCCTCCCCTCAAAAGGCGTGTTCACCCCACCCCCAACCACACCTCCCACATGTGTGCTGTTTCCTTGGAAGGTAGCCTGACATGGGTCTTCTCCATCAACAAAGCCTGTGTCCTGGCATCCTGGTTCTCCAGCCCCTCCATTTCATTTTTCAATAATAACAATAAAAAATGGTCCAAGAAGCCGAAACCGGTTTGGCTCAGTGGTAGAGCGTCGGTCTGCGGACTGAAGGGTCCCAGGTTCGATTCCGGTCAAGGGCATGTACATTGGTTGTGGGCACATCCCCAGTAGGGGGTGTGCAAGAGGCAGCTGGTCGATGTTTCTCTCTCATTGGCATTTCTAGCTCTCTAGCTGTCTCTCCTCCTCTCCGTAAAAAATCAATAATATATATATATATATTTTTAAATGGTCCATGAAAAAAGAATGAAGGTTAAATTGAGGCACATATCTGGTAATAAACTATACTTCTGGGGCTCCAAGAAAGTAACATACGACAGCATTTAGATGGAATAAAGTTTCTACAATGCATTAAAGAATGTTTAAACATTTTTTGGGGGGGAGGGGGGGACTGTAGTTCTGAATAGGCAGTTTGAGAGTGATGATGATGATAAAGCATCCTTTAGGATAAAACTCATGAATGATTTTCTCAAGCACACATATTTTTTAAAATATATCTTATTGATTTTTCACAGAGAGGAAGGGAGAGGGATAGAGTGTTAGAAACATCAGAGAGATAAATATCAACCAGTTACCTCCTCCACACCGCATTCTGGGGATGTGCCCAAAACAAGGTACATACCCTTGACCAGAATCAAACCTGGGACCCTTGAGTCTGCAGGCTGATGCTCTATCCACTGAGCCAAACAGGTTAGGGCAAGCACACGTATTTTAAAACCACTTAATAGTAAATGCAAGCAAGATGCTTCCTGTGAACATTTCTTAAATTAATATGGGCTTTAACATCATTAAATTTGGGGTTGACCTCGAGCTTCCACAAGTATTATCATGAACCTTAAGTAAGTCCCTTCACCCTCCTGAGTTTAAGTTACTTTATCTAAAACACAAATAATAATTTAAAAAGGGGAACCAGCGGATGGGTGTAGTGACCCATCGGTATGCACTCTGGGAGCCAGAGGGCCCTGCA